ACTGTCCGGACAGTCTGAAGCCATTCTATGGGACTGATAACCGCTAATAACATCCATTTAATGGACTGATGACATTCAAACCAGCTGAAAAAACTGAGGCTATTTTTCTCCCAACTACATCACAGAAATCTAAATAATCTTTGTGTCTTATTCTAGAGCATATCCTGGATTGTAACTGTCTCTGGTGTGGGAGAGAGAGTTTTGTTTTTAGTTGCAAAGCGCAGGCTTGCTGAAGTTAAACACACATTTCAAACCAGTGATGACAGGACCGGTGCAGCGATAWGCTGAGAGGAGAGAGGAGAGTGTGTCAGACAGCCACTTTCCTCWTTAACCCTCCACATTCAGTGAAACAAGGAAAAACCTGACCACAGACTSTCAGCTCTGTTTTCCTGGTGTTTTCAGGTGACACTCACTCTCTATGATGTCTCCGAGTCCCTGCGCGTACAGCAGGTCTTTGAGGCGAGCCACCTCCTCTTTCAGCTCGCGGACCAGCCGGTTGTTGGGGTCCTCGTTGATCACGGCGTTACAGCGGATCTGTTTCGCTCGATCGGCGTACCTGAAAGAACCATCGAGTTTACCTCACTGAGCTGCAGGTGACTGTGTGCAGATATGTCTAGACGTCTAAAAATAGAGCATAGCAATTTCTGCTTTATAGTCAAAATTATGCCAGGAAACAATTCAAAACCTGACAAATTCATCTACTGGTCTAGTTTAACCTTTGGTATGAGAAAGTTCATCCTGTTTATTGAGCTCCGAAAGCAGATGTCGTGACATTTTATTTTATTTTTTCCCTCACCGCAGAGTGCTGAGGGTTTCATCGTAGTTAATATCTGCGGGGCTGAGAGCTGCCACCATGGCTGTGCGCGAGTTTCCTCCTGAAACACAGAGAAGAAGGCGCTCCTTTGATCAGACAGAGGTTTTATTCTAATAAAATTAAAAAAATWATAAAATATTCTGTTTGCAAACCTAAGTTCTCCCTCAGAAGCCAGGTCAGAACTGAATCTCTGTAGGGAATAAAACTCTCCACCTTCTTCTTTTTCTTATTCTGTTCACAAAATGAAATAAACTATTTAATTGGTTATTGAAGATTACATGCAAGACTGTATCTCGCTTGCATCTGTGAATTTTGAAATAAATTCCTGCATACATCACTAACCTTATTAGGTGCAGAGTCCTGAGAAATAATAGAAAYACGAAAATGCACATTAGTTGACAGAAATAAAATTTTCTAGCCATTTAAACATATCCAATTTAATCCTACCACTTCAGCTAAAGCAGAAATAACTTTCCCAAGTGTGGTAAGAGATTTGTTGATGTTTGCTCCTTCCTATAAAAAACACACAACAAATCAATTTTTCAATCATCTGGTATGTATTTGCAGGTAGATTCTAAAAGTAAGGTATTTTTTAAAATAAATAAAAAATGAATACAAAATCCCACCTTCAGTCTCGTCCCTTTAGCACCGGTTGAGTCGGCCCTCTCGCTGCCGGCTAAATCAACCAGACTTATCTTGCTGACCTGTCAAAATAAAAGAAACAAAATTCACTTAAATTGTTTTTATAAGAATTTGTCTTTCACCTCAACTATAATAATAACACCTGGATGCACAGATTACACAAGAGAAGAGTATTAATTGCTCTTTTTTTTTAACCAGTACTGAAATATCACATATTTTATGATTGCTGCAAAACTTTCAAATGAGCTGAACCTTTTCTGACGTGTTTTCCGTCTCCATGTCGTGTTTCTTCTGTGTGAAGATGATGTTGAAGACGGCGTGGGAGCGACTGCTGGTCTCGTTCATGTTGGTGGCAGCCACGGTCCTGGTATTGATTCCACATAAGAAACACGTGTGTTCTATTTCAGGGGTTCTTAACCTTTTTGACCTCGGGGCCCAATTTGTTCAACACAAAGTGACACGAGGCCCAGTCACACATTATCATTCAGATCAAAATGATAATTATTCAAAATCTTGGTTTAATTTGTATTGTATTTGCATTATAACTAAATAAAATACACTTACAGTTTAAAAATAAAACTCCTGTCAAATAATCATAAGACATGATTATGACAAACATTTT